TGAATGGAAAACAGCAAGGATAGCAAAAAAAACACAAGAGGCCATTAGTCCCACAGCCAAACAAGAATTATTTGAGAAAAATATTCCATACATGACTCAAAGCACAACACTCACCACAAGGATACACAGGACACACAACACTGGCCCACATTAGCCAGGCCAGACAGTGGTACACAGGGCACAGCACGGCGAGAAGGTGGAAACCCACAGAGTTAGATCTGGGCCGAGAGCTCGTGAAGCGCCGTGAAGTGTGGCCGCGTAGCCCCACATTAGCCAAACCCGAGACAAAAGATAGACAATACCAGGCACGAACTCTTGCTTGTTTGTAGGTGACCAAATACTTATTTTACCGAGGAATTTACCAATTAATTCTTTAAAAATCCTACAATGTGATTTTCTGGATTTTTTTTTCTCATTTTGTCTCTCATAGTTGAGGTATACCTATGATGAAAATTACAGGCCTCTCTCATCTTTTTAAGTGGGAGAACTTGCACAATTGGTGGCTGACTAAATACTTTTTTGCCCCACTGTATGTAGAGGACGACTTACATGTGCTTAATCTATGAGACCAGATAGAGGGGATAGAAGCAGGCGAAGAGCTGTTCAGGAGTCGTTTTGGTGAGCTATGAATATAGCGGGGCCATCGAGCAATTCCAATAGTTTTACACAGTCCATATGTGGCGGGATCCGGCCGGGAAAAACAGGTCAAACGACGCAACTGCGCCAATGTGTAACAAAATTCCATTTGAATGGAAAACAGCAAGGATAGCAAAAAAAACACAAGAGGCCATTAGTCCCACAGCCAAACAAGAATTATTTGAGAAAAATATTCCATACATGACTCAAAGCACAACACTCACCACAAGGATACACAGGACACACAACACTGGCCCACATTAGCCAGGCTAGACAGTGGTACACAGGGCACAGCACGGCGAGAAGGTGGAAACCCACAGAGTTAGATCTGGGCCGAGAGCTCGTGAAGCGCCGTGAAGTGTGGCCGCGTAGCACCACATTAGCCAAACCCGAGACAAAAGATAGACAATACCAGGCACGACGAATCAATGAGAAAGTGGAGACTCACTCACTCACACTGTCAAGCCGTACAAACATACCATCGATCCGGGGAGAGGGCTCGCTGGGGTGTGAGGCGTGTGGCAAGTTAACATCCAAGAGGGCAGTTCAAAACTTTTATTATAAATCCAGTCCGGACAAGTGAAGATGGAAATGTTCACAAAAAACAAAAAGTAGACAAACCAAGCAATTTCACGACAAAAACGGACAAAGAGAAAGCGAAGGTGAAGAGAAGCATCTGCCAAGTTGCGCACTCTCAACAGAAACAGAAATTATATTATATTATAATGTGTAGGGTCAACCTACAGTTTGCATTTCTGATTTGCTGCTAGTGGGGCAGAAATACACACTTTTTTTTTTTTTTTTTTTATGTAGATGAAAAATTTCTGAGATGCAATATTCAAACGGTCTCTGACTTTCCAAATCAGGTTTTGTTGCTCGCTCTGAAATGCTTGTTGAAACCGAAGTCATCCCGAGTGCATTATGTGTGCTTGTATGTTTTTTTCTATGAGATTTGCTAAACCTCCTAAACTCACACAGGGGTCAGAGGTTAGTATGTATAGGGTCGCAGGGATGTAGAGAAGGAGGAGCTGATAGTGGGAGAGAGGGAGGTGTGTTTAGTCTGTACAGAGGAAGTCCAACTGCTCCCTATGAACTACATTACTATCACAGACGTTGTAAGGGTATTTGGAAAGTCACTCACCCCTTCAGAGGCCTGTTGTTTCCCACGCTGCCTTCCCATGCTCCCCGTACTTACTTCATATTTGCACGTCTATAAATAAAGCTCCTCCCGACCAGAAGCGTTTGATAAACTGGTCCGGAGATGCACATGGGCTGCTGTTAACCAAAGGTCATTAGCCTTTCCCGCAATATGTGCTAATAGAGCATGGTAGGACACTATTGGATTAAGACTACAGTGTGTCTATATAGAAGTGCTGTGCCAGAAACATACAACTTTGTGAATACTTGAACAATGAATATGTTACATTTCAGTAATTCAGTGCATTTCATGTAATAATAACACACAAAATCGAGCTTGCTTAGCTAGTCTTGTGATTGTGCTCACATTTAGGGGATTTAGGGCTTCACATCTTTCATCTACTGCTTGTTTTTCTTCCAGCTCATGCCACCCAGTTGCAACACCTCATATAAACAATGCTGTCTTTGTCCAGAACGCTGTGAACTGTTGTTCTGCATTGTAATTTGTGTCGCTAACTGAATAATTTTGCATATTGATTACTCACTGTCCCCTTTTGGCCTTCTGTTTGTGCCCTTTTTATGGGAAACAATTTGTTAGTCTTATTAGACTTCCATATTTCTATTTAGAAAATTCTATTTAGGTTATTTTCAAATTAGTGGACAAAAACCGACTCTGCCCCTTTTGGGAAATGATAATCATTATATTTAAAGTGTTTTTTTTTCTTGGTTGTGGTGGGGGGAAAACATTGTTGCTGTTTCTATAAAACAACAACTTTAAGCAGAAGCTATCCAATTGCATCGGCAGTGGTCTGAACTAACACATAAGTGGTAAGTGGTAACCTACTATGGCTAGCATGATTTATCTGTGCTTATGAGTTTGGACTAGTCGATATATGTTTAGTTAGTTAGTTATGATCAATATATACAAAATATATACAAAAAGTTCATACATACTGGGGGCTTTTTTCAAAGAAATTTATACTTGCATCAGAAATGAAAGATGCATTAAATTGTTCAAAGGTGACTGTAAAGATTTTAAATTAATAAAAAAAAAAATTCAAATAAATGCTGTTTTCTATTTCTATTAATCAAAAAATCCTAAAAAAATCTATCACGAATCCACAAAAATATTGAGCAGCACAGCTGTTTCCAACATTGATGATGATAATAATAATAATAATGTTTCTTGAGCAGCAAATCAGCATATTAGAATGATTTCTGAGTAATGATCCTGAAAATGTTGCTTTGTATCACAGGAATAAATTACATTTTAAAATATATTTAAATAGAAAGCATTTATTTTAAATTGTAATAATATTTTACAATATTTCAGTTTTTACTGTATTTTTGATCAAGTAAATCCAGCCTTGCATGAGAGATTTATGTCAAAGAAATCAAAACATTTTACTGACCCCTTTTTTTTTTTACTGAATTTTACTTAAAACATTTTTAATTGACTTTTGGACAGTGTAGGACAGTTATAGAAGTGATATGAAGCGAAATGGGAGAGAGAGGTGGGAGGGTGGAATCAGGAAAGGTCCTCAAGCCGGGATTCAAACTCAGGACGCCCGTAACGCAACGGCACGCTATATGTCAGCAAGCTGGCCACAAGACTATCGGCGCCCACCTTACCCCAAACTTTTGAACAGTACTGTAGTGTATAATAAATATATACTGTTTTTTTGTTTTGTTTTTCTACATCGTTTACATTAGACATTTTTGAATTTACATGATTTGGATTTAAATAATTTACGTTCTTTTTTTCTCTCTGTATTTCTTGCTTCTGGACTAGTCTACAAACCTGGCAACAGCAAATATATTACTAGCTCTTGAATGATGAAATGCTTCATAAGTCTTGAATAAAATGGTCATTTAAATAGCTAAATGTAATTATTTTAAGCGAAGGCATGTAAACTTGATACTAATATTGACTAATGTTAACATTGTCGCCCTGTTTTCCTGGGCATCATTTTGGAGGCCATGCAAAGGCTTGCTTTGTTTTCAGGTGGGCTCGTCGTCCCCTACTCAGAGCATCCATGAAATGATGTCATGGAAACGGGTGTGGAGAGCAGCAGGACTTCTTCTCTCATTGGCTGAGTCTGAGCCTTATCCGCGCTCTCTCTTTTGCGACCTTACCCCAAACTTTTGAACAGTACTGTAGTGTATAATAAATATATACTGTTTTTTTGTTTTGTTTTTCTACATCGTTTACATTAGACATTTTTGAATTTACATGATTTGGATTTAAATAATTTACGTTCTTTTTTTCTCTCTGTATTTCTTGCTTCTGGACTAGTCTACAAACCTGGCAACAGCAAATATATTACTAGCTCTTGAATGATGAAATGCTTCATAAGTCTTGAATAAAATGGTCATTTAAATAGCTAAATGTAATTATTTTAAGCGAAGGCATGTAAACTTGATACTAATATTGACTAATGTTAACATTGTCGCCCTGTTTTCCTGGGCATCATTTTGGAGGCCATGCAAAGGCTTGCTTTGTTTTCAGGTGGGCTCGTCGTCCCCTACTCAGAGCATCCATGAAATGATGTCATGGAAACGGGTGTGTGCAGCGGAGAGCAGCAGGACTTCTTCTCTCATTGGCTGAGTCTGAGCCTTATCCGCGCTCTCTCTTTTGCCTTCAGCGAGGGTGCTGGCTGCATGTGTTCAGTCAGTCTCTAACAGAAGACACAATAGAAGATGTTCATTATCCTTTATTTATCCAGTGATTTCTGATATTCAGTGGTTCTGAGACATGGTATGTAATTTGCGCTGTGTAATTGATCTTTAATGCCAAAGAGAGTGATAATACTATTCTATTCATTTAGGTTGTGCATAATTGATAAAAATCATTGTGGATAATTTAGGTTTTTAATTTAGTCATTGACCATGCATATATATGCATGCATATATATTTTGATCAGCGAACTGTACAGTTTGAGAGAAAAAGCTTGGTTAATAATAAAAGGAGCAAAATGCATGCATGCATGCTGACAGGAAACACTACCATCTGTTTGTGTGTGGAGGGGTGTTGCTATAGAGACACAGGCAGGTAAGGACATTGAGGAAGTGCAGACGAAGCTGGTAGAGGAAGATTCAGCCAGAAAGAGGTCATGAGTTGGTTGGGCACCTCTTGCTGTTCGTTTTCAAAGAAAAGACTGCATGAATATTACAGTAGATCAGTGACAGGAAAAACTTGTTGCCTGCCAAGCATTTGGCCCATCTCTCACACTTAGTGTTAATTTACAGACCTGGGAATAATGCCACAAGACTCTCCGGTGAGGGTAAGCATTTTATTCTTTCAAAGTGAGGTGAGCGTCAGACCTTGTTGTGGTGTTTCGAGTCTGAGGTTTGCACTTGTTTGTCTGTGTAAATGTGTTCACGCTTAATTTGATGTTAATTGTGGTTGACCCTGATGAGCTACTTCGTTCAGAGAGTAGAGGTTAAGTTTAGAGTTACCCCGAGCCATCAATAGGGTCATGGCTTACCATGTTCCTCTGTCTTTGCCATTTATACAGTCATGGATGATTACAGAGGAAGTAGCTATCACTTGCTAAACAGTCTTATCTCTACTGCAGAGCAATGGTGTTTGATGAGATGATATTGCAGACTAAGTATCATTGGCAGCTGGTCACAATCTGTGACGATGTACTTGTGTATTATTGTATCATTTATTTATTGCGAATGTCCTATTTCACAAAAGTCGTAAAATTGTTAAAGGGGACATGTTAATTAAAACTTCTGATATATGGTTTTCTGATCGCGCACATCCGAAGCAAGCGCACAGAAAGTGGCTGTCACACGGCATGTGAATACTTTTCTTTCATGTATTATTGCGCTTAAACTGTCAAATACACAAAAATTTACGTTAAAAACACGCAGGTTACAAAAACAGTCAGTTATGTCTTTGAAACAGCTGGGAAAGAAATTGCATGTTTATATTAGATCTGTGTGGCAGCAGCGTAATATTCAGTAAATAAATCAATAAATCCACTGCCCTCTTGTCTCCTCTGAGGCTGGGACTCTAAATAGTGTTCTGTGCTCGTGAGTGCAGCCAAAGACAGAACAGTTAGCATGCTTTGATTGAACTTTCGCCATGCCGAAACACACCGTTGTCGCTTGCGAAAACATAATGGCAGTACCATGGGTGGAAACTTGCAGATAAAGGGCGGTAATATTATAATAAGATCCCCTTACCACGTCATGGAGGGGAGTGAAATCTGAGTCACTAATTTTTTCACAAACTTGCAGAGAAAGGCTTACCAAAAACAATTTACTGGGTTGTTCTTTTTCACATTTTCTGGGTTGGTAGATGCATCAGAGACCCTATTATAGCACTTAACAAAGAAAAAGTCAGATTTTCATGATAAGTCACCTTTAATGATCCCAATAACATTGTGTAAACATATAATTTCCTTTTTCATTTTGGGGTAAAATATAGTTTGTGGCAGGTTTCATGAAATTCATCTTATAAGGATATTACTCATGACACCATAAGTATTTCACTAAGTATTTAAACTCTCCATTAAGTTCTTTTTTCAGTCTCTGCTTATCTTTTAATGATTGAAACTCCAGCTGCCTGATCACAAGAATCCTGACCCTTACCTCATCTGAATGCCAGAAACACTTCTGCAGTTTAGCTCAAGGAAAAGAATGACACTGCAGCTTCTGCTGGTATTCTGGCCAGACACATTGATAAGACATCCTGGAACTGCCTGTGTTCTGTCTGGACTGCCAATATCTTCTGTCTGTATTGATCTGGCACCCAGAAAGTCAAACAACACAGCACTATAATTAACTTAACTTCTTGGCTTTGCACTGTGGTTTTGCTTAGAGTCAAGATATCATCTCCAGTTAACTATAAAATTTGATTTTGATCTTGTTTGTTCCCAATTACAGATTATCTCCTGTTTGGCAACTGAAGTGACGGCCATCAAGACTGGACAGAGTCGGGCTGAATCTGAGCAAAATCTGGTTGAATCAGGAACCTTTTAGGACTCGTTAGAAGAAAACCCCTTATTCTTGAAACCACAACAGCACCAGTCAAACGCAACTGGGTTTGTGAGTTGTGCAAACCAAGATGCCCATCTTAAAGCAGCTGATGTCGGGGTCTCAGACCAAACGGCGATCTCGTATGGACCTCACTACCGAGATGATCAGCGCTCCCTTGGGTGACTTCCGGCACACCATGCATGTAGGGCGCAGCGGGGAAGCTTTCGGAGACACCTCTTTCCTCAGCACTCGATCTGGAGAGCCATCCCAAGAAGGCCACACCTATCCTCGCTCTCCAAAACCGGGACTGCTGTCTCGTACCTTCCGAAGCAGCAAGCGCTCTCAGTCGGTCACCAGAGTAGACCAGCGAGATAATACTCTCTTTCCTCCCAGCGAGTCACCTACCTTTGTGAAGAATGCCATGTCCTTGCCCTTTCTGAACAATGAAGAAGAACCAGAGGGAGACAAGAGGGTGCTCAAGAGCTTGACCTCCAGCCCCTCCAATGGGGCCTCTGCTGAAGCATTGGACTTGGAGCTACATGAGAAGCATTTCGGGGTGTTGACTGACCTGCGACCTTCCCCATCTTACAACGGTGGAGGATTGAAGAAAGCTGAATCTGTGATGTCATTCCATGTTGACCTTGGGCCCTCGATGCTGGGGGACATCCTGGGGGTCATGGAGAAGGAAGACGATGACCAGGGGTTTGAAGAAGGCAAGAGCAGTGAGGGACATGCATCTCCTCTTCACTGCAACCTGGGAGGAGTGGAAATGGATGAGGAAATGAGGGAGGTTGTTGTGAAAGAAGAGGAACTAGAGGGGTTAGTCACTCACAGTGATGGTCCCATGAGGGCTCCCAGCTCTGTTGACTTGGAGATACAGAGTGAAGGCACCAGCACCCCAGAACCACACCACAAACGCCTGCATCACCTCGACAGCTGCTCAATTTCCAGCTCAGGTTCAGCTGCCTTGGAGGAGAAACCAACCAGTGAGCCTTACGAGGAAGATATTGGAGTTGCCGACAACATCTGCAACCCAGACAATGAACCAGCCTTCTCCTCCTTCATGGAAAATGAGGATGATGAGATCCGAGTATGAAACCCTACAATTAGCAAACCTTTCTGAGGATGGAGAGATAAATATCTCAGACTAGAATTTGACATTGTGTAAAGAGGAGAAATACGGTGTAGATGTAAGCACGTCAAAGCTGGACAGATGCCTCAGGTTCCTGTGTCCCTGTTGAGATAAGTTGGGGAGACTGCTTTAGCTCAGAAACCAAAGCCATCTGTCACACTACTGACCCATGCTAAGATGAGCAGCTGGATGTGTTAAGTCCGAAAGTGACCTGCTATAAGTTCCACTGATAGCTCTGCTAATGAAAAGACATACATAAGGGATACATACATCACCGAAACGGTAAACTTCACTTCCGCAAGCAGATGCTGTTTTTAAGCCATTCTCCCATAGTCCCATGCGAGGTTCCCACAGTTGTAAACCGGAAATATCAGGGATTTTTTCCAAATGTAAAGGTCATGGATTTTTTTCATGTTATTCTCTGCTCTAAAACATTTCATTCATGAAAAATTGTATTTTGTGTTCTCTATAAAATTGTTTTAAAAATCCTTATCTGGTAATCACAAGCAACTAGAATGGTCATGTAAATTCATTGGTCAAAAGATGTGGGAACCCTGCCCATGACTTGGTGCCTAAAGATAATAGTTATTTTTATTTAGAGCACTAGAGTATTAAAGTTAATCATATGATTTGTTCAGTGGCCCTCTGCATAAAGGTACAATATATTTTCAAAGTTAATATCAGCACTCTGCCATTGTCAGAAAAGTAACATTGTGTTAGGAGAGAGCTCTTATGAGATGATCCAAATGTTTTATCATACACATTCTTGGGGTAGCATTGTCAAAGCCCTACAAATACTTTATCTCTAGATTCCATATAATTCAGTCATGCATCCGGTAAAACTGTCATTTTAAGAGCTACTGTGGTTCAGAAGCTCAGGAAACGTCCTTGTGCAGCTGATTACACTGCGCTGGTCTGAGCTTGAATGCTCATTTGAAGGTGGTGGATGTTTGAGAACCTCTCCAGAGACTGATCATAGTCCACTTTTGGGAAGAGTGGCAACAGGTGTCCCTCCATCAGATCTAATTTTTCAGTCTGTACGTGTTTTGCATAGTAGTTGTTTGCTCAATATCTTGCATATCTCACCACTTCCTTCCTGCACTTCATGGCGTGCGAGGGGAACTACTGCTGTTTATTGCTGGAGTTTTTGATCAGTTTGATTGTAGCTGTCATTGAAACATTTAAACCATTGGTTAAACAATGTGTCACGTCAAGTACAACTAAAAAGACAGTTGTGTTAAGTCATGTCTTCTAGTAAACATGAACATGTCGGTTCTATTAATTGTGTTAACTCTGACATTAGCAAATTATTGCACTGGTATTGCTCCTCAGTAAATTCACTGGGGCGCTTTAATACACTGTTGAGCAAAGACACTAAAATTAATTGATTCCGTTTGATCTTTTGACTTTTTCATTGTGTACATATAATAATAATTCCTTACATTTATATAGTGCTTTTCTGGGCACTCAAAGCGCTTTACATAGAAGGGGGAATCTCCTCAACCACCACCAGTGTGCAGCATCCACCTGGATGATGCGACGGCAGCCATATTGTGCCAGAACACCCACCACACACCAGCTTATTGGTGGAGAGGAGAAGCCAATCAGCAGATATGGGGATGGTTAGGCCATGATGGTCGGAGGCCAATGGGTGAATTTGGCCAGGATGCCGGGGTTACACCCCTCTTTTTCGAAGGACATCCTGGGATTTTGAATGACCACAGAGAGTCAGGACCTCGGTTTAACGTCTCATCCGAAGGACGGTGCTTGTTGACAGTATAGTGTCCCCATATTAGGACCCACACAGAACACAGGGTGAGCACCCCCTGCTGGCCTCACTAACACCTCTTCCAGCAGCAACCTAGGTCTCCCATCTACTGACCAGGCTCAACCCTGCTTAGCTTCAGTGGGTAACCAGTCTTGGGCTGCAGGGTGACATGGCTCCTGGCGTATATATGTCTACATACAGTATAGCAGATGATCATGACTAAAATGAGGCCTTTATTACTGCAGACCTTCATGTGTGAATTAACTGCAGTAGTCTGCAAGCTTACTGTCTCTATTAAAGATCAGGCACTGTGAAGACATGTCTTCGACGTCAAGACTACAGTAAGACGAGATTTACCGGGAATCCTCAGCTGCTTCACACTTGGGTCACGTCAGCCTTAAGCAAAAAAGTGCCAAATCTAATCTAGCATGTACTGCCTAATAAGCCTGACTTTTGAATATAATTTAACATGGTGAATGAATTAGGCTTTGTCTTAATTTCAGATATGGGCCAAACGATCCATCTTGTTTTGATTACTGTAGACAGAAATGCTTAGTAAGAATTTACCTAATTTGCTTCAAGATGAACCTCAGGGAGAGAAAAAAAGACACGAGGTTAGCATTCTGTTTCATTTGCATAGCCTTGTGCTAGCAGTCCATTTTAAATTTAGCAAGACAAAAACAAGTAAAAAGAGAGAAGTCTGTTTATATCTGAAATTGTGTGGCTGTGTGTGAGGTGGATTTAGCGAAGTTTATCTTCATGTTTTCACTCTGTGATAATAGTGCTGTTTGTCTCGCCTATCTTTGCTACAATTTCTATGTTCATCATGTACATATTCATGCTTGCCAGCCTTTTCAAGGCTATAACTGCTATATTTTTAAATAAAAGAAAACGTCCACAAAAGTGTCTTTTCTTCATTTCAGAAATGTTTTCCTTGTAACATTAGGCTATTTCATGATGTATTGTGTAAGTTGCTTTAAATCGTATTTCATCCAAAAATTAAAATGCTGTCATTAATTACCCTCATGTCATTCCAGACCCGTAAGACCGTAGGACCTTTGAAACACAAATTATTATCTTTTTGGTGAAATCCAAGAGCTTTCTGACCCTCCACAGACAGCAACGGAATAACTACCACATTCAAGACCCAGAAAGACATTGTTAAAAAAAGTCCATGTGACATCAGTGGTCTTTGCGCACAAAAAGTATTCTTGTAGCAAGTGCTGGGCAGTATGACCAAAAACCACGAGGTTAGCATTCTGTTTTATTTGCATAGCCTTGTGCTAGCAGTCCATTTTAAATTTAGCAAGACAAAAACAAGTAAAAAGAGAGAAGTCTGTTTATATCTGAAATTGTGTGGCTGTGTGTGAGGTGGATTTAGCGAAGTTTATCTTCATGTTTTCACTCTGTGATAATAGTGCTGTTTGTCTCGCCTATCTTTGCTACAATTTCTATGTTCATCATGTACATATTCATGCTTGCCAGCCTTTTCAAGGCTATAACTGCTATATTTTTAAATAAAAGAAAACGTCCACAAAAGTGTCTTTTCTTCATTTCAGAAATGTTTTCCTTGTAACATTAGGCTATTTCATGATGTATTGTGTAAGTTGCTTTAAATCGTATTTCATCCAAAAATGAAAATGCTGTCATTAATTACCCTCATGTCATTCCAGACCCGTAAGACCGTAGGACCTTTGAAACACAAATTATTATATTTTTGGTGAAATCCAAGAGCTTTCTGACCCTCCACAGACAGCAACGGAATAACTACCACATTCAAGACCCAGAAGGACATTGTTAAAAAAAGTCCATGTGACATCAGTGGTCTTTGCGCACAAAAAGTATTCTTGTAGCAAGTGCTGGGCGGTATGACCAAAAATTGATATCACGGTATTTTCCAAAATTATACCGGTTTCACGGTACATGACGGTATTTTTTTTCATGCATGACCGGGTGTTAACCATATTTTCTACTGATTGAGAGAGGAAATACTGCAGTATATTGACTTAGAATGCATTTTACTGTCATGATGAGTGAATAGTCAAAAAATACCACACTAAATAGTGACTAAACACGACCCCTTTTAATACATGTTAACCAGGAGTCACTCATTTATAATCGCGGCATCGTCTGATAAAATCAACATGCATCTACACTAAAGAGCGGCTATGCGGTTGTTTTGGCTATATTACTTTGTCTCATGCAGGGCACTGCCTGCATCTGAGTAACAAACTAAAAAAAACAACAAATTACTTTCCAAATTTAGAAATAACTTTCCTTCATTTAAGTAGTGTGAGAGCGCAACAATGCTCTAAATGTGTTGGCATAGCAACGTGATACCTCCGGTTTCCTTTTCCGCCTGTCCTACGAAGGCCGTCTCGTTTAATTCTAGGTTGAGGACACTTCGTATATGCATCCTAAAGAGGATGCGACCTCCAGAGGATTCGACCTCCGAAAGGTGCAGCCTTCTAAATGAGACACAGCTAGTGTCGCGTTCCGGCCTTTGTTTAAGCGACATACGGTATTTTAAAAATTCATATCATAACAAAAATAAACACCAGTATTCGGTATGAACCGGTATACCGCCCAGCACTACTTGTAGCTTCATAAAATGACCACTGATGTCACAGGCCTATATTAACAATGTCTTTACTACGTTTCTTTGTTTTGATAGTGGTAGTACCCTTGCTGTCTATGCAGGATCAGAAAGCTCTCAGATTGCATTAAACATATTAATTTGTGTTCCAAAGATGAACGGAGGTCTTACAGGGTTGGAACGATTGACAGAATTGGCCGTTAAAAATGGTCATTTTTGGTTGAACTATCCCTTTAAGTTTGAAGTTATCAAGAAGAAAATACAAAAGTGACCATTAGGTTCAGTGGAATCGATAATAAACAAACTTTTTGATTTTGGTTTATTTGAGCAGGAGTTGAATTTTAAGCTTGAAGTTGCTATGAGTTCTAGATTGGCGTTCTCTGCGTAGATGGGCACAGATCCATTGATTAATTCAATAAACCTACCTGAGGCTGAGGGAAGCTCAGCCTTTGTCAACACATGCTGCTAAAGACCTCCTGTGATGACTGACCACATGCAGCTCTTTTAATCGGATCACTGCGACTGCAGACCTACATGAATGTTTCATGTGAGTAAAGATAATTCACACTCACTCATTCTAACTTATATCAGCGCTCACATTTAGCTCTTTTCTCACATACTGCTGCGTGTTGTCTTCAGGTGAAAATCAAAAGCCCCGTATTCCCAGCTCAAATTTACGAGTGATTATGTATTGATTTTAGTGTTAAAAGCAAAGTGGTTTGATTGATCTGCCTGCTGCCCTACAAAGTTTGTTAGGTGTTAATGTTCCTTCGGTTCAGATAAAAGATAATTTTATGAATCTTGGCTCGACAAAAAAATCCATTATTTCATATACACGCTGCTTGTGTAAAATGTGGATACATCCTGCCACCTAGTGGCCAGCTGCATACACAACATCACTTTTTCTCATTCCATGCCACTCTTACCAGGGTATGATCAAAACCTTTCTTCAGCAGAGTATTTTAGTGTTTTGTTTGTGACACGAAATAATTGTGCTTTGCAAATGCATTGCATTTAGAACTGGTTAGAAGTGGTTCTCAACCCAGGGGCCTAAAAAGTAATAAAAGTGAAGTGACATGTGGCCAAGTATGGTGACCCATACTAGGAATTAGTGCTCTGCATTTACCCATCCAAAGTGCACACACACAGCAGTGAACACACACACACACACACCGTGAACACACACCCGGAGCAGTGGGCAGCCATTTATGCTGCGGCGCCCGGGGAGCAGTTGGGGCACTTGCTCAAGGGCACCTCAGTTGTGGTATTGAAGGTGGGAGAGCGCTGTACATTCACTCCCCCACCTACAATCCCTGCCGGTACAAGACTCGAACCCACAACCTTTGGGTTACGAGTCCGACTCTCTAACCATTAGGCCACGACTTCCCACAATAATAATTAATAAATAATTGTTAAATATTCAAATAATCTAAAATAATAAAATAATCACATAAAATCACAGTGTAAACCTAAATCACTTTTCTTTTAATTTCCCCTCAATAACTATAATTTCTATTGAAGAACATAGTTCTGGAATCACAAAATGACTCGTGGTTAATGTATTTAACAACGTTTTTTATTTCAATAAATTAATAAAAATATAAAGACAAACAGCTTTGTTATAATTACAGCAGAAATACTGGACATATCCTGCTGTATATAGACGGTGGCTCTTTGAATATTGAATTTTCAAAAGGCATTGAGTTTCTGAAGTTATTTTTAAACCTTTTAACCTCAAGCCTTTATACAACTATTTTATTTAGCTTGCATTTGTTTAACATTTTTGGTTCATTTATTCATTCATGATTTAACATTAGAAAAAAATTAGAAATAAATAATATATAAACATGAATTCTTTATTATTAATTCATTTATTTTTGTTAAGAAAAGAAACCCTTTTTCAGGATACTACCGGTATATTTTTAAAGATAATTTTATAAAATCAAAATAAGCTTTACAGATCTTTATTAGAAAGTGTTTAAGCAATGTTTTTCATACTTGTTGCATGAGCCGTACACAATTATTGCACATGCTCCTGTGGAACAGTCCTTAAGACACAGATTACAAGACATATTGTAAGCAGAAGAAAATCTATTTCACAGTTCCAATAACTTGAGAC